CCGTCTGTCACTACTCAAATAAATGTGCGTATATTGCAAGCGCGCGCGCGGTTATAAACGCATTCAGGAATGTCGCATATAATCAGCCATTAATTCACGCGGAATAGCCGCTAATGCGAAATGCGATAAGCCCCCGACGACTTCTCTCACCCGATACCGGCGCGACCGGTGGCGCCCGGCGGCAAGAAAAAAAAGCCGGCACCTTTTTCCCCGTCTCGGTAAATACTCGCGCCGTTGATATTTAAATTTTATAGCATTTTCCGATTAGTTTATGATAATCGTATGCTAATCGCGGCGCCACGTTAATCGCAATATCCGCGATCGCGACACACGAGTCTCGACGGCTCGGTATGACGGATTCGCTGTATCTCGAGAAACATCGAAAGGCGCGAGACGCGGGATACAATAATAACCCGGCCTTTCATACGCGCGCGATTGCGAGAAGGAAACATGACTCTTTTCTTTTTTTCTCTTATCCGAGGTTCGGAGCGTTTCCTGTGCACACATTTCACGGATTAGAGAACGAATGTTCGCAAGTTACATTCGGTTCATCGTACTTAGCTACGCTTCCTCATGCAGAGTCGCGTAATTTACATACACGCCCAAGAAGAATACACACTCGGGCTAAACTCCGCCGGAGAGGTTTGTTGGAGCCGCAATAACGACCGAATGTGTAGGATGTATAATACCGCCCTGTGGTATACCTACACGGTAATCTGTACGCGACGCATAAATCCCTAATAAATAAGCACGTACGCGCATTCTTCGAGTCCGAATGCAAGTCGGCGAGCAGAAGAGACGCATTCGCGTTCTCGTTCGTCGAGCAGGGCGTTTAAACTTGTCGCGAAAATTTAACAAAACAGAAGAGAGGATAATGTTTTTCTAAGTCGACTAAAGCGTCGCGCCGCGCGGCTCGCCTCGCGCAGTAAGCTAACGAGCAAGAGAGATAAAGAGAGAAGACGGAAAAAAGGAAATAGGAAGATAAGATCAAGCCGGATGGTCGTTCAACCGTGCCAGTTACAACGTACGGTGTCGCACGATCCGGTCAGTTTGGTAAAGAACATCAGTCGAGGAACGTCGGTGTTCGTGGGAGAAGATAGACGCGAGAGGCAGCGCGGCAAAAGGAGGCGAAAACAGAAGGCGCGAGAGAAAGAGAGAATAAGGGAGGACAGGAGCAAATAAGAGTACCGCCGAATACACAGGACGAATAAAAATTTAGAAAACAATTATGGCATTTAGCAAGAAATATGAAATATAAAAAGATGATGAAAATATATAGTTTCGAGCGATCAAAATTGATCTTGCAAAAGACTCCGACAAAAACAAAATATTAAAAATATATTTTTTGCAGCGCAATTGCGTGCGACTTTATGCTTTCGAATTAAAATATCGAAAATTTCTAATATTCTTTACTGAATATTTGACAAATTACCAGGGTTGGGAAGTAACTCGTTACTTGTAACGAAGTTACAGTTACAGTTTTTTTTTCCGTAACTGTAACTTAACTTCGTTCCTTTTTCTTCATCTATAACTGTAATTTAACTTAGTTACACATTTATGGTAATTAGTAACTAATTTAACAGTTAATTTAATATTCTATATACGATTGTATTAATTGTAAGAATTAGGACCTATCCAGACACACTTGCATAGTCGCATAAACATATGCATTAGGAAAGGAACAAAATTGTCATGGAATTTGTCATATTAAGTGTAGATTCAATATTTGTTAAATAAATAGACGGATAAACGTATATTAATTATGAAATTCAACAGAAATAAACAAATTCTCATTTAAAGAATGCACTGCCAGTAATAAATTATCTTTGAGGATGATTATCATATAAACATAAAGTTGAAACTTTAAGAAGAACTGAAACATTAGTCTACGATTTTTCGGAAAGTTACAACTGTTTGTGTGAAATTCGTGAATTTTTAAACTGAAAAATCTTAATCCTATAATTTTTATTCTAAGTGTATAATAATTTATTTTAAATGATTAATTAATTTAATATTTTAAGTTTAAAACAATTGTGATTTATTACATATAAAATAATATAACACAAAATTAAGTAGTGTATAACCTATGTAGTGTATAATAAGTTAATAAATCTTAAAATGTAAGATTCTTATATTGAAAATAGTAGTGCACATTTATTGCAAAAAAGTAACTGAAAAGTAACGACTCGTTACTTTTTGAATAACTATAACTGTAACGTGTTACTTTTCAGAGTCGGTAACTTGTAACTATAACTAGTTGTTTTTTTAGTGAAAAGAACTGTAACTTTAACTAGATACTTGTACAAAATAACTTTCCCAATCCTGCAAATTACTTATATTTTGCATCAGATATCGTATTGTTATTTTCTCAAATAAAAATTTTTGGGTAACTCAAGATTTATGTTCAAGTGACAGAGAGAGAGAGAGAGAGAGAAAGAAAGAGCCGGGAATAGGAGACCCGGGATTATTTTAACAAGCGATACATTAGCCGCATAGATTTCTCATCGAGCATCAGTGAGGAATATGTGTCAGTTCGCGCATAAACAGACTATAATAATATTACACTATAAATACATTGGCGGCGAGGCCGTATGTGTGCAGGCGCCGGCGCCGGCGACGGCGCCGTCGGCTGTGTACATTACACGCGCCGCGGCAGCAAATAAATGTATTGTCATAAGAAAGTTTTACTTTTCTCCTAATATGACAAAGTTTTTAAATAATCCCGAAGAATCTTTCAAGTTTTCCGATTACCGAATCTTGAGTTGTCCAGAAATTTTTATTTGAAGAAATAACAATACGATATAATGCAAAATACAAAACTTCAATAAAAAAAGTTAAAAGATTTGGATATTTTCAAAAGTATAAATGTGCCACGGAAAATATTGTTTGTGTTTGAGTCTGATTACAATTTTGATAACTCAAAACTAAATATCTTTTCATTTTTTTATATTTCATATTTTCTAAATGAGAAAATTGTTTTCTAAATTTTTATTTAAAATTTGTGTCGTATTACATTTATATATCCATTTAAATAATAAACAAATAATTATACTCACCAGCTAGGATTGCTAGAATATTACAGTTTATCGTACCCGCTACAGATTCCGCATTAACTCTATCGAAGAATAGATACATGCGAAACACAGTACACGACACAGTAAACTGACCTACGAAAGAAATAAAGTTGGTTAGTATTACTTTTACAGATTTAACATTGTCTACGTATTCAGAGAGACGGGCAAATTATCTTAACGATCATGCAAAGATCGACAGAGAGAGAAATATACAAATACAACTATATTTTACCCGATTAGATTCTAACAAACTAAATTTTCTATATCTGATAAAAGATACATCGCGTGCTCATAATTCTGTTTGTGGCAGTGAAATCTGTACTTACTGAAATGCATCGGTATCAAGCTCCGATTATTCGTCAGCATCCGCGTATGTAATTACTATCATTCCATCGCCCGTCACTTCAATTGGCACTCCCGATAAGAATTTTCACTTGTTATGTACTTTTAATGCATAAAATACGCGATTAATTGCGAGGCGGCGTTTCGTATTTGTTTTCACGCGACAAAAACGGTTAGAAACTGGAAACTGTAATGGCGGCCATTGATACCAAAATGAAGACGCGGCTCACAGAGAGCGCTCTGTGCAGTATATAATGCGGTTCTCGATTGGTTCGTGCGAGCCGGGTCTGCGTTCTGGTATCACGACGGCCGGAAATGAGAACGTACAGCGTGTCGATTGGCAATGTTACCAATATTTTAATAAAATAGCATATCAATACCACATGCACGTCCTTTTGGCCACCCTGATAATTTATTTAGCTAAGCGCGGGCAATTCGATTTTTTTCATGAATGCAATCCAAGACCAAATTTGCAGCGGATTGAGTAAACTGCGATATTTCCGCTAACGAGTACAATTATCAATTCATTACTTCAATATTTACACAATTGCGACATGTAATGTAATGTCGATTACAATAAAATATTAAAACAAGAAACGGCAACACGATATTAAGAAAAAATCTTTGTTCGCCGCAAAGAATTTTATACACGACTGTCAAGCGATGTTATAAAGTCATTATTCTTTTTTTTTAAGCTCAATGAGTCTAATGTGAAATGCGGCGAAGATGAATTAAACGATACATAGTTGGAATGCGCGCGGGGCAATTGCGCGATGTCCGGTCAGGATTGCAGCTGTAAGGGCAGATTTGATTTATACGTGGCTCAGACACCGCATTGAATAGCAACGAGTATATAAAGGCGATGGACAGCAGAATCGTGATTCGCCGGTTCTCATGTATATACATATATACCAAGTGAGAAAGACGGTCATCGACCGTCGCACAAACTAGCCATACGATGTAATCGTAACTCACATGTGAGATTTACAAAATATCGATAAGTCTCGTTTCTACAGCGATTACAATTCTGCCATTCATCTTCTATATTGCATTGTTTTGCGAACCATCATCATATCTATACACAAATTTTGTGTAATATCTTACTGATTATAAGGATTTTTGTTTTATTCATTATAATTCTTATTTCTGTTTCAAGAAAATGAAAGAAGTTAAAATTGATTAAAATGTAAGATTGTCAGTTAAAATTGATACAACACAATCGTAAATTAAACCAACATACCTTGATCAAATTAAACTATGATCAATTGTTAAAAAGGAATCCTTTTATAAAAGAAGTGATGCGGGCTTGATAAGTGCATATTCTTTAGTAGAATGGTGATTGTGCTTGTAACTCAAGTACCATCATCTCAATAGCGTGTCTGTACGTGTTAGGATGTGGGAATAATGAAGGATCAAGGAGCACACTTGTTGCAAGAACATCCATTGTCGTCGTCCTTCGTTGCACCCTTGAAATTCTCGTTATTTTTCGCATATTCAAACACGCTGATTATCTCCGAAACGAGCTAATCAATCTAAACAACAAAGACAAAACACTAATCAATGGCAAATAATGCATAGACTACATAAAGCACAATTACAATATATTTCACAAATTGTTTAAACATTCATACATAATTATATGAATTTTCGCATATGACGAAAAGGCGATCCAATGAAATTAGGGGAAGGAGCATCTCGTAAAAACAATGTATCTCAAAGACAGAAAAAACGTTAGGACATCGAAGAATGACCGCGAATTAGCGTCGAAATCGTAGGCGTGTAAATACGCCACGAGATCGAAAGTGCTTGATTTAATAATTGCGAGGCCTGACTCTTTTCGCTGACGATTCGAATGTTCAAGTCTCTCTAAATTTCTTTCGAGTCTCTGTGAATTTTCCGTCACGTTCACTGCACAATTTCGGAATGTCGAGGATATATTCTAATTTACCTTATCGAGGTGCAATAAATAAATGATATCTCCTTTATAGTGAGATATACATGGTTGGATAACTATAAGTTTTGAAGGCGGGCAGGTGAAAAGGAGGAAGGATGCACACCTGCCGCTACCAACTAGCGAGATAACCATCCGTATATAGCTTCTGTTTTCCCAAGTTTTCTATCGCCGAGAAACTTAAAAAAATAAAAAGAAACTTTTGTAACTAGGAATTAGTAGTAAGTCATTGCACCGGCTGCTGCAATCACTTTCTGCGTTTTTCGTGTCAACCGCGCTGGGCTGAAGAGCGATTTCTTTTTTTTTTTTTTTTGTAAATGTAGTGGACAGAGCAACATTCTCTCGTCTATTGATCACATTTTATCGTATTTATATAATGTAATGTACAATATGCAGCTACATTATGATAATCAGTATGTCCAACGCATTCAAAACTGACAACACTGTGGGTACTTACTCTTTTTTTTTTCCCGTGTTCTTAAATTTCCTCACCGAGAAGGTATCGTTTAAATTATTCATTAATCAATGTGTATCGTATGTTTCAGAGTTAGGTACTTTAATATAATTATTTCCAAGTTTTCCACATTCTTGTGGCATCTCTGTGTAAAAAGTGTAACTATAATGCTAATATAATAATAATTATAATAATAAGTTGCGCAAGGCAATAGTCCGGTGTGGCCGTTCGATCGTGTGCCTGCGGCCGCTTCCCCACTCCTTTCCCCCCCAAAAAACTTGCTGACACGGAGACAATTCTCAATAATAATCCTATATCTTGCCTTCAAGATCTCAAAAAGACCTTGCAGTTTGCATTATTTTTTATAATGTTATTCATTTCATAGGGGGGGACAGGTGTGCAGCTGTTTTTGTATGATGTTAATATAGCAACTGAATGTTGACAGAATAATTTTCCAATTAGCGGTTGGCATTTTTCAGCTGATTGGAAAGCCAATCGAGGCCCTCGTAAAGTCCGTCACCACTTGTGGCACACGTTGCTTGGATGTACCAATTGCGATTACGTAGAGAATGTAATCCCAACTTGTCGGTAATCTCTGCTGCGTTCATTGCATTTGGCAGATCCTGAATTATTATTCGTTTAATTATGTCTCTTATTAACATTTTTTTGTAAGACTCAATAAAAATTTACTTACTTGTTTGTTAGCAAATATGAGAAGTACTGCATCTCTGAGTTCATCTTCTGCTAGCATTCTCATCAATTCTTCACGTGCTTCACCGATACGTTCCCTATCATTACTATCAACGACGAATATCAACCCCTATAATTACAACAACGAAACATGATACGATACAAATATGCAATAAAACAATAAAAAAATTATTAGATTCTGATTTTTGATTGGTAAATCAATGTCATACATTTGCAATTTTTCTTATGTATTTAATATTAATATCTAAAAATATTAACATTTTAATTAAAATACATACTTGTGTATTCTGAAAATAATGCCGCCATAAAGGTCTTATTTTGTCTTGGCCACCCACATCCCATACAGTGAAACTTATATTCTTATACTCAACCGTTTCTACATTGAAACCTAAAAAACATATTTACATGTGTAATATTGCTATCTTGCACATATTTAGAAATTATCACATTTAAGCGCGTATCATTCAATACAAAAAGTAAAATATGCCAAATTTTGTATTTAAATGTTTTATTACTAATTACAATAATCGATAAGTTTTTGTATAAATAAACATATTATTATTATTCTTTAAGTAATGATAAGTAAAGATTATAAAAAAATAAACGTACCTATAGTAGGAATTGTAGTAACAATTTCCCCTAATTTTAATTTGTACAGAATTGTGGTTTTACCCGCTGCATCGAGACCCACCATCAAAATCCTCATTTCTTTTTTGCCAAACAGGCCTTTGAATAACGTTGCAAACATATTCCCCATGGTTGGTACTAGTTGTGTCACCTGAAACATAGAATAGCAATATATATTTAATAGATACTTCATAATGTTCTTGTAAAATACATAACAATGTTATATTTTTAAAAAATGCATCATCATTCTATTACAACAATATTAAATTATTTCATTATTCTATCTCTCAGTTTGAATTCTGATTATAACATACGGTTGAAATAAAGCGGTATAAAACATAATGAAGAATATGCTATAAAGACACAAAAATGTACATGCATTCTTTAAATCGCAGAAACAAATGTGTTGCGAAACAAGAAATTTTATATCGTCCCAGTAAGAATAATATTTCGTTGGTAAGTGCGCGAGTAGCGTGAGAAAATACACAAATTTACTTATTTAAATGCCATTTGATATTATCGCGATGATAAATGCAACGTGTCACGTATTGAGATCACGATTTTTTATTTCTCCTGTCTCTCATGCACAAAGTCGAGGGAGAGGTGATGAACTTTGCAAAGGAACATTGCGAGGAACGACCGAATTGCACGTGGGTGAATAAGAAAGAAACTCGTTCGACCACGACGCAACACGCGTTCCTCGAAATGCGATGCGTAATACAAGAGGTTCTCCGGTACGCGGCATACCGTCACGTATACACACGTATAATCGTCGTATCTGGCGTCACAAAAGCCTCGCAAACTAACCTGATCACGTTAAAAGGCACCCGCGAGACGAGACGACCGGATTAATTCCGACAATAGTGAGAATCGTACGTTCGGCTCTTAATCGCGATTGAGGGGGAAAAAAAAGGTCGTACACACGCACGAGATGCTCACGCTGCCCGCTTATCGATTCTCATTTTAATACATCGCTATGATTATCGGACTAGCATACCCTCGGGGATCACTATAGACTGCTCCGCTGGCGATCTATGCAGTTCTAAAGGGTGTTCGTACAATTTAAAGGGCCAGTGGCGCGTAATACTGCGAACGAGGCGGATATTGTGCGGTTTGCGAAGCCACTGCGTACACCCGGTTGTCTGTCACCTTCGACCTACTCCCCAGCGAACTCGTCAAAGGTTCCCCGCTCAAAGATCCATTACCCAGAGACTTGCTCTTACTATCGAGTTCTTTGGTAACGTCACGTTGCACATATACGCCACTTGCGTTACTTACGTTTCAGTAAAAAAGATTATTTTCACGAGAAACGATAAAACATAAAACCAACACTCTCGAAAAGTACCGTATGTCAAAATGGCGGACGTGGAAAGGATTCATGCCTTATGCCACGTATAGGGCACCGAACCGCCGCGATTGGCCCGGTGCATCACGTGATGGTGAAAATTAGGAATGCTACGCGAGCAGCCTGATAGATGGCGGGTGTAAACGCCAACTCGGAAATTTCGAAATTGTTGCCAAGTATGCGCCGTCGATGTTTCGATTGACAATAGAACAAACAAATGTAATCTCATTTGTTTCTATATTTAATCCATGTCCGTCTAAATCAAGTCGCTGCATCAAGTATGAGATAATTAATCTAAATTAGATTAACGAACAAAAGTAACTGCAAACTCACATTTTTTAAATCCTATAGACTTGTGATGTTATTGTAAAACATGACGAGAAAACGTCAAATTGCAATATACCGATATCAAATAGCGGAAGATACTTTAAGAAACTGTTCCTAGAATAAAAACAAAGAAGAAAAGTTAATGTAGTATAAAAATTGGCATATTTTCTCTTTAAAAAAAATACATGATGCAACATTTTCTGATGCATCAGTGATCACATGGGCAGAGGAGATGGCGGCAAAGTAAAACTATTGTACAAACGCAACTTAAACGTTTAACCTTAATATCTCTCTAATATTTTGACATCTAATTAATTTTAGACATCTTTAATGCAATGTATATGACTCAGACTTTCAGATTTTCCTATTAGTCATTCTCTTTGCTCCGAAATGACGTCCATTTTCTCATATTGTATAATCACGAACAATGGATACTTTAGATGTGCTACTCTTTTTTCGTAAAGCGCACACTCAAGATATGTCCAGACAGATTTGCATATACGCAAAAGCATATTGATTGGTCCATAAGAATGAGAAATGAATTATTTAACTTTTTTATGCATATGCTTATGCGCCTATACAAATTTGTCTGAATACACCCTAAGGAGAATAAAATTATTGACACTGAATTCAGTATTATAGCCAGTATGCTGAGGGCGCTGAGTATTACATATTTTTGTTTGTAAATATAAACAGGAGAAAAAAAACAAAGTTCTGCCTTGCAATAGTTATTGCCTCTTTCAATATCGCAATTCCTGCAGTATACTCAAGTTGTATGTGAAATAAATCTTTATACTATGCTTTTTGATTAATTAAATATGATAATATGCATAGCAGAAATAGATGATTATAGCAAATAGGGTTATGTCCATGTTCCAAATTTCATTCTGTACAATTTATTATTTTTAACACAATAACATTTGAAATTAAACATTTGTTAATAATCACATTTACGAATAATATAAACAATTAATAAGATTTAATTAAATTATTTGTTGGACTTTTCTAGAATAAGTCCATTGTCAAATGAGTTTTCAAGGATTAATTTTACTTGTTGACAATTTGAAATTCTCTTAATAGCTGCATAAGAAATAATATATTGTGATGCTTACAGATTCATTCCGTAATATTCACTTTCAGGAACACAAAGTGGAATAGTTTGAATCTTACATTCTATATGCAGAGACATTTTACAGAGTTTACATCTTAATCCTGTTTTTCCAAATTTTATTCTGAAACAAAACAGAAAATACATTCATTATATTTATCATTATTATTATATTGTTACTGTCATAAATTATCTTCAAATTTACCTTTTATCACACACAACACATAGACTCGGTCTAATAACTATTTTTGATATAAAGTTATGATTTTTAGCTACTTCTGTATTTATCAGATTAGAATTACTATTTTCTTTATTGAGTGTAAACTTATTTTCACAAAGTATTGAACATTTGTCAATGTTTGATTTAGCTATTGTAGATGTTACTCTATTTGACAAGTTAAATTCTGCAACTTTATCTAATGTACTGCACTGTTTATTTGTTGCAGAATATTCGTTAATAGGTTCATACTTTTTCCATTCTTTATACTTATGAGCTCTCATAATAGCCTCAGTTTCCAAATCATCTTCTGATTTTGATAAACAATTTAAGTCACTTAGGATTGAACCTGTAGAATCTGTTTCTGCTATTGTAGACAAACTGCAAATAATCAAGTGACAATGTAAATCAGATATTATTAAATATTAATAATATACATGATACTTACTGCTTATCATTCTTTTTGCTTTGGACATATAAATTATTACGTCTGACTTCAGCTGTTGATCTGTTAAGAAATTTTAATTTTTCCTTTATTTCGTCACATAAGTTTATTCTTTTATCATGGAACAACACTTCTCTAACTATGTGAATTTGATATTCCTTAAAAAAAAAATTAAATATCAAAATGCAAATTATAAAGAATATTTGCTCTTTTCTATCTTTTTCTATATGTAAAATTTAATGTACCAATGAGTTTTTATGATTTTCCATTATTCGTCGTTTACGTTTCTCTTCTTCCAAGTCTTTTCTAGCATGACACAATCTTTTTTTAAGATTCACGACATCTTGGCGTGCTTTATGTATATGTAATTGAAGTAGTTGATAATCTTGTAAAGGTGGGCATTTTATTCGTGATATATTAAGCAAAACTGTATTAAATATATATTATACATAAATTAAAAGCATAAAGTATCAGATAATATTAATATAATATAAAACGAATCTAATTATGTGCCTTTATAATCTTTTTATTTTAAATGACTGTTAATAACAAAGAAATTATTCACATACCTTTATTCAATTCTTCATTGTTTGCCATGTCATTCAAGAAATAATTAAGCACTGATTATTCTTTATTTCTTCTGATTATATTTTATTTCTCAAGTCATACGTTTCTAAATGCTAAGTAAGACAAGATTTGTAGAGTTGGAAATGGAATAGAAGAACTTTGTGAGAGTTGTCATGTCATTGTTTATGGTTTTTCTCACAACCGGTTTTCTAACAACCTTCAAACCTATTCAAATTCTTAAATCTTACCAAACAGAAAACATCTAGATAGCCATCTATTTTTATGAACAATTTTCTGATTATTTTCAAGATTTTATGTACAATTCAAAAATATGTTTAACTATATTATGCTAAACCTGTGTTTTAACAATTTCAGAACAATTTGTACAGAGATATTTTTTTTGAAGAATACAAGTAGAGAAACAAAAGAAGAAATAATGCCACAATTATTACATAATTTTGGAGAATCGCCGTTTAAAAAGAAATCTGAAATATATAATGAATTAATAACAGATTTTGGAAAAGTTATTATCAATGGCAGATACTTGGAAAAATCCGAAATTCAGGTATTCTTGTTTTTATAAAGAATCAAACGTAGCATTTTCTATTCTAGAAAAAAAAATTGTAGGAAAAGGTCGATACTCTCTGCAAGTGGATGTGCACAACACCTAAGACAACTATTTACAGATTAGATAATTTTCATTATACGGATGATCTGGAGAAACTAAAAAATGCATTAAAGCAGGTATGTTGAGAGGGCAAAGAAAAACTAGCGATAATTATAATATTTTAATAATTTCAAGAAATTGATACTTTCTGATACTTTTACTATAATAAAAAGCTACTTACTACAATAAACTTACTATAATAAAAAATTGATATATTGAAAAATATTCCAACATTTTCTAAAATTATTTTTTCCTACTACAAGAATTTGACATGTACAATCCGTTATATTAGAATGATAAACCAGATCCATCTATTCACTTTTTGCCGGATCTTCCAAATGGAATAATTGCCGTTGACGGTTGGGATTCATCAGTATCTCTTGATTTAAATAGATATCCGGATGAAATTGTTGTTGATGCTGCATGTGGTGCAGCTGTACTAAGAGGATCTCACGTTTATGCTCCTGGCATCATTGGAATGCCCAATGGTAATTTTTATATATAATTCTTCGTATATATTCATCCAGAAGAATCTTTAATAATCTATTAAATGCATTATAGGTTTAAATATTGACACTAAGGTCAGTGTATTTGCCGATGTCGCTGGTCAGTGCAAGAAGGGCTTAATTAAACCGTATGCAGATGGCAATAAGATATATTTAGGCAATGGCATTCTTCGACAAACGAGGAAAGAATTATTTGGCAAAGCTGCAAAAAATCCACGGTAAAAAAGCAGTTCGCAAATTAAAGATAATTACTTACTTCTTTACATTATTAGAAAATTCTTCCAACCGAATTGCAAGTATCTTCGTTGAAATGTGTTGTTCCTAATAACAAATTGTTTTATATATGCTTTATTTCATTTCGTTTTATTATGAAAGTTTTCGTATCTGTCTCTCATATGTAGCACGAAATAATGCTGTAAATCATCTTTCAGCGGTATCGCCATAATTATGACTGATGTAATCTCACGAGTTCCACAATTAAATGTGAATGACGAATCTTTGAGACCACATGCGCTGTTACAAAATTTGCCATCCATCATATGCAGTCTAGTATTAAATCCCCAGCCGGGTGAGACAATCTTGGACATGTGTGCTGCACCTGGTAACAAGACCACGCATATTTCATTTCTTATGAAAGGGCAGGTAAAAACAATTTGTAACAATTTGTGCACAACACAGAGTCCTTTGTAGCTATCTACTCTTTTATATTTCTTTTTCTTATATTAAAGCAAATAAACAAATGTTTATTCCTTGAAACGCGCGTTAAAAAGAAACAAATGTAAAAAATATAGATAATATATTCATTATCTAGTGAAATTTTTAGGGTACAATTATAGCTTTAGAAAAAAATTCGGGCAAGGTAATACGGTTTAAAGAAAAGTGTAACGACGAGAATATTAAAATATTTTGTTACGATGCTACGAAGGCCGTTATTGAGCAAGAACACATTTCCGTCCATACTGATGGGCCTCCATACGAAGAAGATTACTTTGATCGTATTCTCTTAGACACCCCATGCAGCGCGCTGGGTCAAAGACCGCAATTGTATAATACAATCACGTCGGCGCAGCTTCGTTCTTACGTTCCTTTGCAGCGAAGTCTCTTTACTGCTGTAAGTTAACAACTTAATTGCTGTATGCATATACCTGCAACATATACATGCTTAGGTGTAAATGCTTTGCACAGGCTGTCCGCCTTTTAAAACCGAAAGGAACATTGGTGTATAGCACATGCACTGTCACAATAGCGGAGAA